AAAAAAAAAAAAAAAGAGTGACACCAAGTGGAAGGCGTGTGCCTATAATCCCAGCTACTGGGGAGGGTGAGGCAGGAGAATCACTTGAACCCAGGAGGTAGAGGTTGCAGTGAGCCGAGATCCTGCCACTGCACTCCAGCCTGGATGACACAGTGAGTCTGTGGCTCGGAAAAAAAAAAAAAAAAAACAGTTCAGATACTCACAGGGTATACAGTAGTCTTAAATAAATGAACTAAACCAACTCTTATTTTCAGAGTCCAGAGGAGGCTTATTAGGTCCATCAGCTTAATCTTTCAAAACTTGTATCAGTAAATTTAAGATTTCAGCTTCAGATGTGACTTTGCATAAAATTTCTAGATTAACTTTGAGAGAAATCACTTCTTTGGCAGATCTTCTTTTTAAATACAGATATTTCAAAATAATTTGAAATCTAATTTGTTTTTGTCAGAAGTCTATATAGTTACTGCTTTTGGTAGAAAGGTCTTCCCTTTGCATCACAATTGTAAAATTATTCTAATTTTCTTCTAATACCTTTATGGCTTCATTTTAAAATACTTAACTGTAATTCACCTAAAATTGATATTTGTATCAACTTTGACAGAGATCTTACTTTATTGTTAGCCAATTCTTTCATTAATTTCCTCCACTGATTTGAAATGCCATATTTTATAAAATGTGTTCTTCTTATACATACACAGATGTGTTTCTGATTGACCTACATTATTTTCATTAATCTGTCATTCTATTCTGGTTCTAGTACCACACTCTTTTAATTTACAATTCCTTTTAATGCTTGATATATTGTCTTTGGCCCCCTTTCCACGCTTATCTTCATCCTTTTTCAACATTTTCCTGGCCACCTTTACATGTTTATTCTAAACTTTGCAATCATTCTGTCAAGTGTCCCCAAAATAGTCTCACTGTGATTTTGACTGGGATTGTATTATACTGTTTTTGATGAGAATGGATACCTTTACAGACTTCTAGTAATGTTTATATCAATATTTTTAAGTCTTCCAAAGTGTTTTTAAAGGTTTGCATGTTTGCTGTCTATTTCTAGCTATAATACATATTTTTTTGCTACCATAAAGACATATCATCTATACAACTAAAAACATGTTGAAAAGTACTATGCCAAGAACAGAATCATTACATATCATTACAAACCTCCCTCCAACTTAGTATCAGTCTGTGTGTGGTCATTCAAGCAAGTATTCGTCTCTTTAATTGTCCTTATGCCCAACTTACCTATTTCCAAATTATTTGAAAGAACATCATCAGATACCTTGTCACCTGACTTAGGAAGTCTAAATCTGTTATTTCTACCACATTTTCCTTTCCTACTCCAATAACTTTGTCACAGGAAAAAAGCTGGGTTAATCTGATTGAACACAATTTGGTATTAATGAATCCAATCCAGGTCTAGTGATGACCACTTTCCCAAGTACTTACAAATCCTCCTCACATACTTTAAACTCTTACCTGTGATTGATAAGTATAAAACATTACTTCTAGAATCAAGTCTTGCCAATTTAAGGAAAAAAGTAGGTGTGGGACCGTTTAGTTACCTTAGAGAGATAAATGGTTCTAAAATATTCAAATCACTCTAATAAACTTGGTTTGAATTCTGGAATGCATATATGACAGAGAAAGACCATCAAAAGCCTCACCATAGTTGAGAAAGGCATTACCTTTGCTCCACAGTCTGCTCCTTTCTGAATGCAAAATCCAATGAACCGTGGGTCTGCCACTTTTACTAATATGTTGTCAACACAATAGACATGAATGCTCCAAATGCCCCTTTGCTCCATATCCTCCACAATATTCTGGGCTGCAAGTGCCCGATAAAGACCACCATTCCCATCTGGAAAACAAAATAGCTCATTAGTAGCACATCAAAATCCATTATAAAGGCAACACAAAGATTGTTTCCAAACTAGGGTCAAGATCCCTAAAAACCAAAATTCACTTTACAAAGGCAAGAAAAGTGAATATCCATAAGGAAGGAATCAGGTGTCAAAAAAATTAAACTATAGGATTTTGAAGGTTACTTAGCATTAAGTATCCAGAGAATAACACTATCAATGTAAGATCAGGCAACCCCAAAAACCATATCTTTCTTTTTAACTCAGCCCCTTTTAGTAATATATTGTATGATATAAAATCCTTTATCAGGCAATGATTATTTCATATCAAGCTTTATTAACATTTGTATGATATAAGTTAGCTCTGTATTTATAACTCTGACGTTAACAATTTCACCCATGTCAAAAATAAAAATATGTAAGTATTTTATATCAAATCATGTGTTAAAAAAATAGACTGATAAGAAGGCCTAAGGTGATTTAAACTAGATATAAATAAAGCCTCTTCTTTCTCCATCTATTTATAATGCTGCTTTAATGTACTTTGTCCAATAACAACCTTAGCCATAGCTTAAGTGATGAAAAATTAGACAATTTCACAAAATACAGCTAAGAATAGTAACTCTTCCATTAACCAAAAGAATTAAGATGAAATAAAAGCCTACATCTAGAGAGCACCACTGTTAATACCATTAATTTCTTTTCAGCCTTTCCTCCAAGTACAGATTCACATAAATATAAATCTGTCAGTAGGTCTATTTTTATAGATTGACGTTGTACTCAAGGTCACTGAATGTGGCTACACAGGCAATACACTGTCCCATTCTAGTGGGTCCCATTAACAAACCACGATGTGTACGCACTATCTGGAACTGTGCAAAGCAGTGGCCCTAATCATAGACTGTATGCAGTTTTTCATTTTGCATTCTCTTACTTAACCTACTGAAATAATGTTTTTCATTTAATGCCACCAATTATTTTAATGCTATTTAAGAATTAATGCTATTTATAAACTTAATTTAACCTCTCATTTATTAAATAGCGTATGGTTTCAAGTTTTTACTATAATAAATAATGTAGCCATGAACATTGCAGTATATAGAAAATATTTGCTATATGGCTAGGCAC